GTTGTAATTGTAATTATATAATTCTTTCGATTACGAACCGTATCCGTACATACAAGTCTAACAACGCCTAACGTATCTCCTCTCCTCTCATCTCATGTGTGCAGGATGCCCTGAGTGAGCCATGGAGACTGTCCACCAGTCAACAGCCGCAGAAACAGACCAATATCTGGGAACCACAGGGCAGGCACCAACACTTGGTGTGCTCGGGTGGCGGCTTTGGACCAGTCACCGACGATGGATATGGAGTGTCGTACATGGTTGCTGGTGAAGATCTGTGCTTCTTCCATGTATCGTCCAAGCGTTCATGCAGCGAAACTGGTATGTGTGTAGGTTTGATGTGTGTGAGTGTGTGTGCATATGTACACTTGGGGGCTGTTTGTGCACATGTTGTGCATGTACAGAGTTGTATTGGAAGTGGGTCTGCTGGCAGCGGTTGGTGGAGTTTCCCTGCCAGTTATGGGTACGTGTTGATTATTGGGTGGCTTGCGTGCAGATGTGCACTCATTGATCTATATATGTGTGATATACTGATTGATCCGTGTGTTTGTATTCCGGGGTTGTTTGGGGAGACAGGATTGTTCGATTGAGTGCTTGATCCCCCTGATCCATGTGAATTCCCTATTGCTTTATCTGTACTTCCGTGTGAAGTTCTCATGACTTGTTCTGTGTGGCTTTCTGTACTACGCGACACGCGGATACTAATATCACGTGCATCATTACGCACACAACTCCACAGATTCCGTCAAGTTTGGTGAGGTGTTGTTCGAGTCACTCCGGGAAATCCGCGAGATGTTCTACGATGCTACCTCGACCGAGGACGAGTAAGTCGGTTAGTACACAACTTTAATACGCCACATAACCATTACAAAGTTCGCATGGCGCCCAATCATATTAGAGGGTGCCCTATGCACGCCACAAGAACGTCTCCGGTCTCGGCAGAATGCCCGTAGGTGCAATACAGACGTACCTGGGGGCGGGCAATGGAGAGGGCAAGGGTATATTCAATTGTCCTTGATCGGGTGAACTGTACTCACCATGTACAGTATTTGAAGTGGAGGAAGATACTACACAATAAGAGTTTGCCTCTGGGGGCGTTCCCGTTGCCTTGGCTGCATAGATGAATTCGATAGCGGTGCTCTGTTGGAGATGATCTGGATAGGCGTGGCGATAAAGAAATTAGGGTTGTCATAGCAACGCTTCTGGTGAACACTCTAATATCTCTCGTAACAATTAGCGGCGCGCTGTCGACAGTTCGATCAAGTCTGTACTAATGCTGTAAGGGGACCATATGGGTGGAAGAGTGTAACAGAGACAGATAATCAAATTTGACCGAGGTGGAAGCCGTCCCTAATCCTAATTTGTGATCGAGAAAATATTAATGACCCAAATGTTTGCCATTAGAGTAGTTCTGTGGTACCAGGCGTACTGCAGCCAACATACAAATTAGTCTTAATAAACCAATTTTAAGTTAAATTGTGGTTTTAATATTATATACTCGCACGTGTTTTAGATATTAAACTCGGGTCGAAGACTTCATTGAAACTCGTCATAGCCTCCTATAAATTTTAGTAGTGAATATATGATGAGATTTTTGGTGCCAAATTATTATACAGCACGGGCTGTTTTGTTTGTCTCCAAATTTTGTATGCCATTCACAAAAAATGGGAGGATGTCAGGCTTGTTTTTAAGGAGGCTATGACCTCGCCCGTAAACCCAATTAAGGATTTCGCACGCAGTTCACCAGAGACCGTATATGTCGAAAGGTCGAGCATAGACATAGACTGCGCATTGATAACACGTTCGAGAACATTCGAAGAACCCATAGGTCTCCACTTATTTTTTGTATACAGATCGATGAATAGACAAAATCACGTCGCAGAGTATTATCATTCAGGTATGTCAATAAGCATCAGCAGTACACCTGACGAATAGACATCGTAAGGGAACGGATGTGATGAATAAAGTATACGTTTCCACACAACTCGGAAAATTTGCGCAATCAGAAAGTGAGAGAAGGGAAGCAAGAGGCACGAGAAACGAAACACAAAAGAAATCGGACGCGCAGAAAGAAATTCAGACTATGACAATTGGCTATGAGACGATTAACTATGGGACAATTAGCAATGAGCAAAATGGCTTGAGAGAATTGGCAATGCGATAAATGGCTAAGAGATAATTGGCAATGCGATAAATGGCTATCAGAGAATTGGCAATAAGATAATTGGCTATCAGATAATTGGCAATAAGATAATTGGCTATTGGCTATGAGATAACTGACAATGAGATAATTGGCAATGAGATAATTGGCAATGAAATAATTGACTATGAGATATTATTCGCAATGAGATAATTGGCTATGAGAAAATTGGCTATGAGACAATTTGCTATGAGATACTTGTCTATGAAATAATTGGCTATGAGAGAGTTGGTTATGAGAGAATTGGCAATGAGAGAGTTGATTATGAAGAAGTTGGCTTTGAGAGAATTGGCAATGAGATAATTGGCTATGAGATAATTGGCAATAGAATATTTAGTTGGCCACGAGTTAATTGGTATTGAGATAATTGGCAATGAGAGAGTTGGCTATGAGAGAGTTAGCTATGAGAGAGTTGACTTTGAGAGAGTTGGCTATGAGAGAGTTGGCTATGAGAGAGTTGGCTAAGAGAGTGTTGGCTATGAGAGAGTTGGCTATGAGAAAGTTGACTATGAGAGTTGGCTATGAGAGAGTTGGCTATGTAAGAATTGGCTATGAGATAATTGGCTATGAGATAATTGACAATGAGATAATTGGCTATGATATAATTGGCTATGAGATAACTTACTATAATATAATTTACTTGATATACTTGGCAACGAGAGAAAATTGACTATGAGATAATTAGATATGAGATAGTTGGCTATGAGGTAAATAGCTATGAGATAACGGTCAATGTGAAAATTGGCAAGGATATAGTTGGCTATGAGATATTTGGCTATGAGACAATTAGCTATGAGAAAATTGACTATGAGAAAATTGGCTATGAGATAATTGGCCATGAGATGATTGGCTATGAGATGGTTGGCTGTGAGACAATTGGCTAAGAGATACTTGTCTATGAAATAATTTGCAATGAGAGAGTTGGTTATGAGAGAATTGGCAATGAGAGAGTTGATTATGAGGAAGTTGGCTATGAGAGAATTGGCAATGAGATAATTGGCTATGAGATAATTGGCTATGAGATGATTGACTATGAGATAGTTGACGATGAGATAATTGACAACGAGATAATTGGCTATGAGATAATTGGCAACGGGATCATTGGCAATAAGATAATTGGTTATGAGATAATTGGCAGCGAGTTAATTGGCAATGAGATATTTAGCTATGAGATAATGGGCTATAGTATAATTGGCTATGATATACTTGACAAAGAGAAAATTGGCAATGAGCTAATTGGCAATGAAATAATTGGTTATGGGATAATTGTTTATGAGGTAATTGACTATGAGATAATTAGTTATGAGATAATTGACAAGGATATAATTTGCTATGGAATAATTATATACTTGGCAACGAGTTTATTGGTATCGAGATAATTGGTATTGAGATAATTGGCAATGAAAGAGTAGACTATGAGAGAGTTGACTATGAGAGAGTTGACTTTGAGAGAGTTGGCTACGAGATAATTTGCAATGAGAGAGTTGACTATAAGAAAATTTGCTTTGAGAGCATTGGCTATGAGAGAGTTGATTATGAGATAGTTGACTATGAGAGAATTGGCAATGAGAGAGTTGGCTATAAAAGAGTTGACTATGAGAGAATTGCTATAAGAGAATTGGCAATGAGAGAGTTGGTAAATAGAGAGTTGGCTATGAGAGAGTTGACTATGAGAGTTGGCTTTGAGAGAGTCGGCTATGAAAGAGTTGACTATGATAGAATTGGCTATGAGAGAGTTGGCAATGAGAGAGTTGGCAATGAGAGAGTTGACAAAGAAAGAGTTGGCTATGAGAGATTTGGCAATGAGAGAGTTGGCTACGAGCTAGCTGGCTATGAGAGAGTTGACCTTGAGATTTGGCTTTGAGAAAGTTGGCTATGAAAGAGTTGACTATGAGAGAATTGGCGATGAGATAATTGGTATTTAGATAATTAGATATCAGATAAATTACTATAATAAATTGACTATGGTATACTTGGTAACGAGATAATAGGCAATGTCATAATTAGCTATGAGATAATTGGCTATGAGGTACTTGGTAACGAGATAATTGTTAATGAGATAATTGTAGTTGGCTATGGGATAGTTGGCTTTGAGACAATTGGCTAAAAGATACTTGTCTTGAAATAATTGGCAATGAGATAGTTGGCTATGAGAGAATTGGCAATGAGGTAATTCTCTACGAGATAGCTGACAATGAGATAATTGGCAATGAGACAATTGACTATCAGATAATTGGCAACGTGATAATTGGCAATGATATAGTTGGCAATAAAACAATAGGCTATGATAAACTTGGCAACGAGAAAATTGGCAATGGGCTCATTGGCAATGACACAATTGGCTATGAGACAATAAGCTGTGAGATAATTGGCTATGAGATAATTGGCATTGATAATTGGCTATAAGACAATTGGTTATGAGAAAATTGGCAACGAGATAATTGGCCATGATATAATTGGCTATGAGATGATTGACTATGAAATAAATGGCAATGGAATAATGATACTCGGCAAGAAGTTAATCGGTATTGAGATAACTGTAAGATAATTGGCTACGAGAGAGTTGACTGTGAGAGAATTGGCAATGAGAGAGTTGACTATGAGAGAGTTGGCTATGAGAGTGTTTACTGTGTGAGAGTTCTATGAGAGAATTTGCAATGAAAGAGTTAGCTATGAGAGAATTGGCAATGAGAGATTTGGCTATGCGAGAGTAGGCTGTGACAGAGTTTGATGTGAGAGAGTTGGCTATGCGAGAATTGACAATGACAGAATTGGCTAAGAGATAATTGGCTATGAGACGATAGTCTATGGAATAAATGGCTATGGAATATTTAGACACTTCGCAACATGTAAATCGGTATTGTGATAATTGGCCATGAGATAATTGGCAATGAGAGAGTTGACTATGAGAGAGTTGGCTATGAGAGAGTTGACTTTGAGAGAGTTGACTATGAGAGAGTTGGCTATGAGAGAATTGGCAATGAGAGAGTTGATTATGAAGGAGTTGGTTATGAGAGAGATGACTATGAAAGAGTTAGCTATGAGAGTATTAACATGGAGAGAGTTGACTATGAGAGAGCTGGCAATGAAAGAGTTGGCTATGAGAGAGTTGACTAATAGAGAATTGACTATGAGAGAATTGGCAATGGGAGATTTGGCTATGAGAGAGTTGGCTATGAGAGAGTTGGCTATGAGAGAATTGGTGATGAGAGAGTTGGCTATGAGAGAGTTGACTATGAGAGAGTAGGATATGAGAGAGTTGACTATGAGAGAATTGGGAATGAGATAGTTGGCTATATGATAATTGACAATGAGATAATTGGCAATGAGAGAGTTGGCTATGAGATGACTGGTAATGAGATATTTGGCAATGAGATAATTGGCTATGAGATTTTTTGCTTTAAACCATGGCAAATAGGCGCATAAACACATAGGCACAAAAACACATAAACACAGCCACACAAACAGATAAACATAGGCACATGAAACAAATAGACAGACTAACACATTGAAACAGAGGCACACAAACACATAAACACGGACACATAAACACATAAACACGTAGACACAGACACATTAACATATAGACACATATGCACATCATAAACACATTAGGAATTTGAGGCTGAAGTAGTGGATGACGCCGGGAAAGAGAAGAGAGGAAGTCGTGCAGGTGACCAAATTACTGGACGTTGAAGGGGAAGATGACGCGGATGGGGAGAGAGGCACACGTATGCGATGTGCGGAAGGCTCGGCCATTCAAAGAGGAAGAGCCAGATTTTAGTGGACTAGAAGTGTATATATATTAAATGACAAGGGCGAAAGTGTGGCATAAGCCTGCCTAGAAGCGTGGCTAGGACAACGGTGGCGTTAGGGAGCCAGAATGGGATTAGGTGAGAGATTTGTTGACAACTGTCATCACTCACACGGAATCTGAAGCGCACCAGGCATAGCCTTCTAAAACAATCAACAGGCCATGAACCAGACATCATTGAATATGCAGAAACCAATGGGACATGTAATAGTCGAGCCTTGCTTGGGATTCACTCTCGAACGCCTTTCTTGGCCGGTACTAAATAATAACTAAATAAAGTTTTAGGAATAGTAGGTCTATGCTTAGGATTCTCATTAAGCGGTTCCTGGGCTACACGCAGCACCTTGCGGCTAATAGTGGTCCGACACGTGAAAGGTATCGAATATATTGAAACCGTAAAACGCGAGATAGATATAGAACCATCGATTGCGACTAGATATATTTGGCTGCACACTAACGCATCGAGTTCACACCAATATGTTAGTACGACCACAAGATACATAGAAGTATGCAATCTAGTTGCCATGCCATCGTAGAACAGCATTATAGTACACGTTGGCCCTGTGCACTCAAAACATAAACGAACAAGAATAAGCGTATAACAAACGTACGAACGTATTCTATCCACACTCCCTGTCCGCCTACAAAATCGGCGTTCCAGAACAAATCGCCGGTGCTGCATATAGGGGGGTTGAATCATTTATGTCTACTTACTTATAATCACAACACCCTGTGACACTTATCGCCAACAACAGCTTCGTATTGGATATCCGAAACACCCAAAGATCGTACTTTTAACGTAAACTAGGCGCGTGTGCATGTCCTCCGAAAGGGAATGGGCCATGGATTCATCTTCGTCCGTACATATGCGCCCTCTATCTGTTTCAACTAGCTCGCCTGTCGGCCTCCCTTCCAGTTGGTTAGAGTGTGGTATGATGCCCATCTGTAGGCATTGTTACAAAGGTGACGAGCGATTTGAATGTACGTAAACGTTAGCTATATAAACATACGTATATATATATATATATATATATATATATATATATACAAACACAGACATATATATATATATATATATAAATATAAATATAAATACATACACATACACACACAAACACACACACACACGCACACACACACATATATATACGAAAAGTAGCATCACAAGTCATAAATGCATAGCAACACACACCAATACATACATAGCAACGCATAGATACACAGCAACGCACTCCAATACATACATATAAATCCACAATACATAGCAACACAGAATATACAGAAACAAAACAACACCAATAAATAAATAGCAACGCACAATACATAGCAACGCACACCAATGGATACAGAATAACCTATAATACATAGCAACGCACATCAATATATACATAGCAACGCACAATACATGGCAACACCACCAATATATACATAGCAACAACACCAATAAATACATAGCAACACATATCAATAAATACATAGCAACGCACAATACATGGCAACAACACCAATAAATACATAGCAACGCAAAAATACATAGCAACAACAATAAATAAATAGCAGCGCACAATACATAGCAACGCACACCAATAGATACAAAACAAAGTATAGTTCATAGCAGAGCATAATACATAGCAACAACACCAATAAATACATAGCAACGCACAATATATAGCAACGCAAAATACATAGCCACGCACATCAATAGATACATGGCAACGCACAATACATAGCAACGCATAATACATAGCAACGCACATCATTATATACATAGCAAGGCATAATACATAGCAACGCACACCAATATATACATAGCAACTTACAATTAAAAAAGCAAAGCATAATACATAGCAACGCACATCGATAGATACATAGCAACGCACATCAATAGATACATTGCAACGCACAATATATAGCAACAACAATATATAGCAACGCACATCAATAGATACATAGCAACGCAAACCAACAACTGCATACTAGCACGAACCAATAACTGCATACCAATAATGTAAGGCCTCTGTCAGAAAGCCAAGGACACATATACCAATCTCTGTTGCCTTTGGTGGGCATGTCTTTGCTATCGGAAGTGAACAACAGGGACTACAATCGGAGGGGATAGTGAGTGCCAAAAAAGCAGTAGTTGAGTCATCCAACAAAGTGGACTTATACCAAGCTATACACCGAGCTGGGAATCGAGTAGCTACCCCACTGTCGGCAAAGGTGCTCAAGACTTATTCTGTCGTGGAGCTGCACACACCATTGTCTTGAACAGAATGTGCTTTTAATCGGTAAAGCGCCCGTGCGCGTTAACGAGTGCAAATACAAGGTAGAAGGCACGACGTGCATAGGTGTAGTTGATGACTTGCATAGGTTTAGTTGATGACTTGCATAGGTGTAATTGATGACTTGCATATGTTTAGTTGATGACTTGCATAGGTGTAGCTGATGACTTGCATAGGTGTAGTTGATGACTTGCATAGGTGTAATTGATGACTTGCACAGGTGTAGTTGATAACATGCATAGGTGTAGTTTATGACTTGCATAGGTGTAGTTGAT